CTCTTCTAACCAATCATTCATTTATTCAATTATTTGTGCTTTAAATCTGATTTTGTACTCATTTTGTGCCCAAAGACTCGGCGACTGGACTCCGCCTCCGTCTGGACATCCCTTCGATAGTGAAAAGCGGTTCATCCGTTTGGCTTCACTGCGATTACGACCTCGAAATGGATTCACTCTATTCTGTTAAATGGTATCAACTCTTATGTCTATGCAATCAATCAATTAATTAATTTATTTATTGCAAAAACATATGCAAACAAATAAAACTGAGACCAAAATCTAACAAATGAAATGTCACTAATAAATACGATTATCGACTCGTGATTTGATGTGATTGTCATTTTAGGTACAAAAACAATCAGGAGTTTTACCGATACATGAGTGAACCCGATTCGGTGCCAGACATACAGCCTCATCGAGTTTTCTATCAATTGGGCATTTATGTCGATGTGAGTACTCAATACAAATCTGTCACACATTTGTCTCTCTCTTTTCACTTTTCCCATTCATTTCCATGAGTTGGACACGAATTGAATGAATTATTTCTAACTTTTTATTTCTATTTAATATTTTTTATCCGCTTTAAAATAGTTGTCAAAATCTAATTCAACACATGTTTACCTAAAGAAGACTGATCTGAATACTGAGGGCACGTTCACAGCCGAGGTGTCCACCACTACATTCAAATCGGTTTGTTTTAAACCATTTTAAAATAGTTTTCAAATGAAGTTTCTTTAGTATATTTAACATTTTTATAAAATTATATCTCATTTTAATTAATTACTTGTTTAGGTAAAACGACTTAAAGATTTACGCATATATGGTATGTATTTCTTTTATCAAAAAAGTATATTAAAACCATATTTTATATCACTTTCACTCTTTTTTCAAACACTTGTTTGAAGAGAAAATAAATATCAAAAAGTATTAATAATAAAGCGAAAGAAATAGACATATCGTATGAATAGAAAACTATTTTTCATTTCTTATCTAAAGTATAGTTCAAAATTAAG